GGTCCTCGGGTCTCTCTCTCAAGGAGACCCTGCTAAAAGCAGCTCGATATCAGTGGCACAGTGGGTTAAACCGCTGAGCTGCTGAACTTGATGACCGAAAGGTTGCAGGTTCAAATCTGGGGAACAGGGTGAGCTCCCGTTGTTAGCCCCAGCTTCTGCCAACATAGCAGTTCAAAAACATGCAAATGTGAGTAGATTAATAGGTACCGCTCCGGCGGTAAGGTAATGGCACTCCATGCAGTCATGCTTGCCACATGACCTTGGAGGTGTTTATGGACAACGCCAGCTCTTTGGCTTAGAAATCGGACACAACTAATAATAATAATAATAAATACAACTTTGTTTATACCCCGCTATCATCTCCCCAAGGGACTCGGTGCGGCTTACATGAGGCCGAGCCCACAATACATCAGTAAAAACAATAACAACAGTAATACAAATCAATACATAACTCATAATAAAAATAATCAGTAAACATTAACAATAACATGACGATGTTTAAAAACCTATGGCTGGGCCAAATGTAATAATTAAAATTTTAAAAATAATGCTGAGCATGACCAGGTGGGATAGAAAATTTTCGGAGAAGGATGAGGCGCACAGACAATCCTAGATCACTAATAAAGTGCATTTTGAGGGCATATTGCTGAGAGATTTCCTTATTCTGGGAAGGCACACTGAAACAACCACGTTTTCAGGCTCCTCCTAAAGACTGCCAGAGTTGGGGCATGCCTGATATCCTTGGGGAGGGAGTTCCAGAGTCGAGGGGCCACCACCGAGAAGGCCCTTTCCCTCGTCCCCGCCAATCGTGCCTGCGATGGAGGTGGGAGCGTGAGCAGGGCCTCTCCAGATGATCGAAGACATTTCGTGGATTCGTATACAGAAATGTGGTCACGCAGGTAGGCGGGTCCCAAACCGTTTAGGGCTTTGCAGGTAAGAACCTGCACCTTGAATTGGGACTGGAAAATGAACTGGACTTAATGTCAGGGGAAAACCTTTATCTTTGCCTAACCCTTTTGGTACTAATGTTGGAGAGTGGTCCCTGGTCAAGTTGTCCTTGGTCAAAAAAAAAAAAGATTGGGAACCACTGCTCTAATGTGATGAGGTCCTCAGATGTCTTTGCCCTGAAGCCAAATGGTATTGCCTTCATTCCGATTTGGTCCGGGGAAAACAACATTTCTTGTCTAGCTAGAAAGCAATGCATGACACTTCGGAGTGGAAGAAGCATGCATCAGGAACAGAAAGTGACTGAGATAGCATAAGAGAGTCTGAGTGCTTCCAAAGCTGAAGGACGGAAGTTCCTTTAAGGAAACGTTGATTCAGCTTTGTTCCGAGTACAGAGCAAAAACTGGGGCATCCGATACCTCCTTGTTTGGCCACTAGAGAGCCCTCCAGGCTCATCTTCAGGGTCTGCCTTTGATGGTCCCTCACATTGTGCGCTGAAAAATCACAAATATACTGTGCATTCCGAATAGCCATGAAGCATGAAGTGCTAATATTATGAAAGTCAAGCAGCCGTTTCCAAATATTTTCCCACTTGAAGGATTTCAAATAATTGCACGACCAAAAGCAAGGCATTTCTAGTATTGTCACTATAGTTCTAAGTAATGTTTTTGACTGCGTACCACTTAAAACGTGTTAAGTCAATCGCTTGCCTTTGTAACAAACTAACTTATGAGCAATTTAAATGTGGGAGCCTCCGAAAGACATCTTGAATATGAGAATTGATAATTTACCCATTGTTAGATGGCAAGACAACTAATCTCTGTGTGTTCATATGTTATGTATATGCACATACAAAAGGGCTAGATATGATTTCATGAATTGTGACTTTGGCCCCATCGATACTGCATTATATGGTCAGTGTAGGTTCATATAATGCAATCAAATGCATTTAAGCTGCATTATATGAGTCTTCACCAGGCATGGGCAAACTTGGGCCCTCCAGGTGTTTTGGACTTCAACTCTCACCATTCCTAACAGCCTCAGGGCCCTTCCTTCTCCCCCTCAGCCACGTAAGTGTTGGTTATGGGCCCAGCACTCAACTTAACATTGGTTATGGGCCCAGCACTCAGCTTAACATTGGTTATGGGCCCAACACTCATCTTATTTATTTATTTATTTATTTACTTCATTTGTTGACCGCCGCTCTCAGCCCTGGGGCGACTCGCGGCGGTGCACAACATATAAAACAGTCTACAAAAGCATACAATAAATCGACAACCAAATTACACATTAATCTAAATTACAATAATAAATCCGCGCCATCATAACATATCGACATAGCCAATCTCATAATCCAAGGTCCGTTCCAGATGTCATTACCATATTCGTGTAGGTCTCAATTAAATGCCTTCCCGAATAACATTGGTTATGGGCCCAACACTCATCTTAACATTGGTTATGGGCGCAACACTCAGCTTAACATTGGTTATGGGCCCAGAATTCAGTTTAACATTAGTTATGGGCCCAGCACTCAGCTTAACATCGGTTATAGGCCCAGCACTCAGCTTAATATTGGTTATGGGCCCACACTCAGCTTAACATTGTTTATGGGCCCATCACTCAGCTTAACATTGGTTATGGGCCCGGCACTCAACTTAACATTGGTTATGGGCCCAGCACTCAGTTTAACATTGATTATGGGCCCAGCACTTTGCCTAAGCATCTGAGGGGGAAAAGGAAGGAACCTGGGGCTGTTAGGAATGGTGGGAGTTGAAGTCCAAAACACCTGGAGGGCCCAAGTTTGCCCACGCCTGGTCTACATTCACCATTAGATGGGAACAAATTCACAGTATAACATCTTTGTTGGTTTGACCTTCCATTTTTGGAGGCTATCAAATTGGATCTTTGATTATTTTTAATTAAGAATATTTTTTTAAAAAAAACATGCAATTAGAATCCTATTGATGGCTCATGCTCATGTAACCTGGGACTAATGCAGTTGCATGTCCTTTTGCAAACATTATAGAAGCCAGTATACAGAAGGCAGCTTCAATGATCTGGAGATTGCAAGCATCTAACTCAGGGGTTCTCAACCTGTAGGTCCTTGGGTGTTTTGTCCGACAACTCCCAGAAATCCCAGCCAGTTTAATGGCGCTCCATGCAGTCATGCCAGTGGCCACATGACCTTGGAGGTGTCTACAGACAATGCTTAGAAATGGAGATGAGCACCAACCCCTAGAGTTGGACAGGACTGGACTTAATGTCAGGGGACAACCTTTACCTTTACCTAGGATTTCTGGGAGTTGAAGGGCAAAACATCCGGGGACCATTTATCTAATTCCTTTATTATCCATACCTTTCCACACAATCCGAAAGACGAGAGCAGTGGTTAGAAGCAGGTGCGTCGTGACCTCCCACCACATACAGAAACCCATTGTAGGTTGCAACGCCAACGCCTCCCCGTCGCTTCGACATCGGGGCACATATGCTCCATTTGTTTGTGTGAGGATCAAAACACTCCATGGATTTTAAGCAAGAGCTGCCATCTCGCCCACCGACTGCATACAACCTGGAGTAGCCAACAGGAAAACAACTGGGTTAAATGTGCTAGAGCAGGATGTCCCACCAAAACAAACTTTTTGCCGTTTAATAACCCTTTCCTGTGATTTTATGACAGAACCAATTAGGGAATGAGATTTACAACCCAGGAACAAGAACCATGTTGCATAATGTAATCAGTCTCTTGAAGTCTTCATCTCATCTCTCCAAAGATTCCTAGTCGTGAAGCTAGATGTAAGAACCCAGACTCTGATGTTATGTTTCTGTACTAAGTGTTTCTCTTTACTTAAATTAATCTTTAATACATATTCCAAGCACGACTTCCCAGTAGTACTGAACAGGAGGAGCAAATATAACTTGGTGGGGTTAATACGAGGGGCTGCTGATAAGTCTTTGGCTTTACCTGGAAAGAAAGGAGATAGGAAGATAAAACTTTACATTTATTCCACATACTCTCCACTGATATCAACACACTTCTTACATCGGCATTCCAAGTTCTGTAAGCCTTGCAAAAAGAAGGATCTTGGTTGTGCCTCAAACCAATAATCTGTAGCAGCCAAGGAGTCAGAAATGGTGTGAAATTTGGTACCCTTGAGATGTTTCTTCAGGTTTGGAAACAGATGATAGTCAGAGGGAGCTAGATCCGGTGAATAAGGTGGGTGGTTAACCAGCTGGAAGCCTAGCTCCACCAGTTTTGTCATGGTTGCTTGTGCAATATGAGTGGAGGTGTTGTCTTGCAGGACAACACCTTTTGGGCTTCAGAGATACCTTCAAATGTTCCAAAAGTTCAGTGTAATACCTTGCATTGATGGTGGAACCATTTTTAGGGTAGTCCACTAGCAGTACAGTCTCCTTATCCCAGAACACAGACGCCATCACCTTAGTGGCTGATTTTTGCACCCTGAACTTCTTTGGACGAGGAGAACCATTGTGCCTCCACTCTTATGACTGCTCCATGGTATCACAGTGATACAGATAAATCCAGGTTTCATCCATAGTGACCAGTCTATCCAGGAAGTTCTTATCAGTCTGGAAAAGTTGACAAATGGACCAAGAAGTTTTCACTCACACATTTTTCTGAGCTGTTGTCAAACATTTGGGGACCCACTTTGCAGAGAGCTTCTTCATGTTAGAATGTTTGTGGATAATGACACACACACGTTCACGAGAAATCCCCATGAAATCTGCTATTCCTTTAGATGAAATTTGACGATTCTCCAATATGAGGTTGTGCACAGCATCGACGATCTCCAGAACAACAACCACGCTCGGTCGTCCAGGATGTTCCTCATCATTAGTGCTGAAGTGGCCTGTTTAAAATTTGGAAACCCAGTTCTTAACTGTAGAATATGAAGGTCATTGATCCCACAATGTCTGCAACATATCACCATGAATATCCTTCATGGACTTTCCTTGCAGAAACAAGAATTTTATCACTCCTCTGCCCTCATTTGATGTGAATATCACCTTAGACTCTGCCATTTTGTTTTCCCGTGTGCCTAGATCACTGTTGCCATAAGCTACAAACACAAAATTTTGAAAACATATATTGGACACATAAGGCTTTCATGTGATAAAACATTGGTTACCATAGAAACAAAACAAAAACACAAAGCCAAAGACTTATCAGCAGCCCCTCGTACATGTGTATTTATGTATATGTTTCCATGCAAGTGTGTGAAAGAGAGGATAATTCAGTTGTACATACTTGCTGTTGAGTGCTGCAACCCCCACGGTGCTCCTAGGGGTTGCCATGCTGGCTACATAATTCCACTGCCGAGCCTGAGGATCCCATCTCTCAACTGTATTGAGGTAGCTCCAGCCATCGTGGCCTCCCACTGCATACATCGGTCCTTCAAGCATTGCTACACCTGAGGACAAGAGAGTGGAAGTAATTCTGGAACTATAAAACAGCTGAGGGTGAAAAGGATGGGGCCTGAGGCTGTTAGAAATGGTGGGAGTTGAAGTCCAAAACACCTGGAGGGCCCAAGTTTGTCCATGCCTGCTCTAACATCTGCATGACTGATGGATCTCCGTGCTGCAAATGAACCTATTGAATTTGGTGAGTTTGCAAGGACTGACTAAATTGGCACTTCCCTTTAAAATTCAAATATCCAAGAGAGGCAAACTGACAAATTCACCCATCTCTCAGCTTGTCAAATTGGCAATTGAGTTTCATCGTCTTTGGGATTTTGGGGATTTTAATTCGGAGGCTCCTTTCTCTTTTTAACAGCTGACATTTCCAGCGTGTCATTACCGACTGGCTGTTTCGAACCGCCTGTCATCTTTACCTAATCCGTGCCTGTGAGTTGACATTGGAGGCATCACAGTCCAGGCTTTGGTGATTGGATTGAAACATTCGACTGTATTGGAAGTTTTCAAGCCGTCCCTTCCTCCCACGATGTAGATCTTGTTGTCAATCACAGCCACTCCAAACTGGAGCCGCCTCCCATTCATGGTTCCAATCTGTATCCAGCTGTTTGTCCTCAAATCGTATTTCTCGATAGTTGTGGTGCCTGTTGAAATGAGAGAGAGTAAATTGGATGGCGTACTATTGCTTTCTGAGGCATGTTGAATGAGATTTAATTGAGTCTCTGGAGCGTTCGAGGATCTGGGTGGTGCAAA